TTGCTTTATTAAAAAGTAGGAAAAATATATAAAGTCGTACTAAATTTTATAATTGATACTTTCAATTTTATAATTGATACTTTCAACTTTACATTTGTCTTAATTAGTCTTTAAATTCTAACTGTTATATATATAGCAGGAAGTTTTTGTCTTAACTTAGGATTAAATATAGATTAACAGTTTATAAATTCTAACCGTTTGTCTTTATTAAGTCAAACTATTGAACAACAATTTTAATTTAAAAAAAATCATATCATCTAGTTTTTTAATTTCTTAAATTCAAAAATAAAACAAATATAAAACTTGAGAGATTGTCTTTTATTTTTAATTCTCTTTAGACTAACAAAATAAGAAATATAAGTAAAACATTTACATTTAACAGAAATAAACAATTAAAATTCATTTATTATGAATAAGTTAATATCCAATTAAAAAACACTTAAACTTCAGGATGGGCCTTTTGACCCTAGTAGTTCCTTTTCCAAAAAGTATGACCAGAATAATTCGTAGATCAAATGTTTTGCTTAAATAATGTATAGCGACGCGTCATTGTAAGTGACGTTTTAAGACATGACAGTATTAATACCGCGTCCTTTACAACTTTCTGGCACCACAATCATTGGCCATGAGACATGATACCCTCAGAGCCGCGTCCCTTGCACAATCATATGCAAAGGACGCGGTAGTCCATCTATCACGTGTCAGGAGCACACCTCATATCTGCCAAGGGAACGCGTTTGCTGCTTGTCTACATCGTTTTTAAGGTTAGCCTATTTAGGGTTTTATTATTCAAGTAATCTTTAATTTTGTAATCTGGTATAATTGTATTCAAATCATATTAGGGTTTGTGACATGATTAATATTGTTAAATCATATTTTATAATCTGGTCCACCATGTGTTAAAATCATATTATTATAGTATGAATTATTTTATAAAATTTGTTAAATATAATTGTATTTTTATGTTCTTTATAGGTCCCTTTTTTTTGGCTAAAAATATTAGGTTAGTATATTTAGTTTTTGAGATGGGTTATATTTACAACCTAAATAGTTTAATTTGCGAAAATCTTAACCGTTGATTGACGAAAATCAACGGTTAAGATGTGGTTGTAAGAAGTTGTAAACAAAAATAGGTTGTAAATATAATTTTTCCCGTAGTTTTTATAATTTTCTATTAATTTTATCATTACTGTTTTATATTTAATTGCATAAAATTTTATTATTATTTTAATAATTATTCTATTAAAGTTGTTAAATATATGCTATATTTATATTATTAAATTTGTTAAAAATATTATATTATACTATTGTTAATATGTTGTGGTTATTACCCTTATATTTTATGCATAATTAAATTTGTAGGGTCTTTAAAGGTCCTATAGTTTTTGTCTAAAATCTTAGGTTAGCCTATTTAATTTTTATAAGGTAGTATTATTTATTATTATGACTGTTTTATATTCAATTACATAAAATGTTATTATTATTGTATTAATTATTTTATAAAACTTGTTAAATATTATATATATTTTTATTTAATTAAACTTGCATAACAAAGGTTAAATATGATATACTATTATCTTAGATGAGGTGCCTTGAAAATGTATTTATATTTATACCAGATTACACCAGATTGTAAGTACAACACACGGTGGACCAGATTATAAAATATGATTTAATAATAATAATCATGTCACAAACTCTAATATGATTTGAATACAATTATATCATATTACAAAATTAAAGATTACTTGAATAATAAAACCCTAAATAGGCTAACCTTAAACACGATGCAGACAAACAGCAGACGCGTTCACTTGGCAAGGGGGCCTCCTGACACGTGATAGATGGACTACCGCGTCCTTTGCATATGATTTTGCAAGGGACGCGGCTGTGAGGGTATCATGTCCCATGGCCAATGACTGTGGTGCCAGAAAATTGTAAAGGACGCGGTATTAATACTGTCATGTCTTTGTTGGGTTTTAAACTTTATTTAATTAAAGAAAATAGAAAATGAAGAGTTTTGTGATAAAGGGGTGTGTCTCTTAGGAATTTGTTAGTGGACATTAATGAGTTTAAAGTTTCTAAGAAGTAGTCATTAATGTGTTTAGATTTCCTAAGTTAGTCATTAGTATTTCTAGTTATTTGCTATTGCTTTTAAATAGTACCATGTAAATCATTTGAATGTAAGGCTTGAATGTTAAAAGATATACAAAGAGGTATATTCAGAGAACTCCTTGTGTGTTTAAAGTGTTTTGTGAGAAACACCATTAGAGGACCTGCGATTCACAAATTGGTATCAGAGCTTGAGTTATGGAGAGTGTGAGCACTTCCAGTATGTCGTTGCCCCGCCTGACAAAGGCGAATTACGTGAATTGGAGTATCCAGATTAAGGCGTTGCTCGGATCCCAGGATGCTTGGGATGTTGTTCAGGACGGTTTTGTTGAACCTGCAACCACTGCAGGATTTACAGCAGCTCAAACCAAGGCGTTGAAAGAGACGCGTGCGAAGGACAAGTCAGCCTTATACACGCTTTTCCGAGCTGTAGACGAGTCCGGATTTGAGAAGATAGCAGGAGCAACGACGTCTAAGGAAGCATGGGACATCTTGGAAAATGTCTATAAAGGTGCTGACCGAGTAAAGCAGGTCCGACTTCAAACTCTACGTGGCGAGTTGGAAGGCATGAAGATGAAAGATTCAGAGGGTGTATCCGAGTTCATCACCCGAGTTCAAGCCGTGGTGAATCAGTTAAAGCAGAATGGTGAGCAGATATCTGAGACTAGAGTTGTTGAGAAGATCCTGAGGTCGCTGACCGACGATTTCGAAAATGTGGTATGTGCAATTGAGGAGTCGAAGGACTTGGCTACGCTTTCTGTTGAAGAGATAGCAGGTTCCTTGAGGCGCATGAGCAGCGCAAGAAGAAGAAAAAGGAGGAGTCGCTGGAGCAAGCACTCCAGACAAACGCAACCATTAAAGATGAGAAGGCGCTCTATTCTCAGAATGTCCGAGGTAGAGGTCGTGGACGAGCTGGACGTGGAAATGGCCGAGGTGGTCGTGGCCGAGGTCATGAGGTGAGGACGTGGCCGAGGTGGAAGAGGCCGATGGTCAAATCAAACAAATGTGGAATGTTACAAGTGTGGCAAGTATGGCCATTACTCGAGAGATTGCAACTCGGACAAGTGTTACAACTGTGGCCGAGTTGGGCATTTCGCTAAGGATTGCCGAGATGAAAGAAAAGTTGACGAGGCTTCAAACCTCGCTGTAGAAGGAGATGGAGGAGTTCTTATGCTAGCCCATGGTGAAACCAGTTCAAAGAATGAGACGGAGTGGTATTTGGATACCGGTGCCAGTAACCACATGTGTGGTTACAACCACTTGTTTAAGGAGTTGAAGACGGTGGAAGCCGGACATGTCTCTTTTGGAGACGCGTCCAAAATTGAAGTAAAGGGCCGAGGTATGATCTGTTTCTTGCAAAAGGATGGACGAGTTGGTACAATCCGGGACGTGTATTACGTGTCCGAGCTCAAAAGTAACATATTGAGCATTGGACAGCTGATGGAGAAGGGTTACTCGGTTCTAATGACAGACCGAGTTCTACTGTTGAAAGACAAACAAGGGCGTCTGATAGCCCGAGTTCAGATGGAAAAGAACAGAATGTACAAGTTGAGTCTAAGGAGCATGGAGGTCGGCTGTCTGCAAGCCGGGGTAGAAGATAAGATGGACTTGTGGCATAGACGGTTTGGACACCTTCATTATGGTGGTCTGACCGAGATGATGAAGAAGGACATGGTAGTGGGACTACCGAAGATTAATTCTGAAGGAAGATTTTGCGAGGACTGCGTATTGGGAAAACTTGCGAGAAGCCTGTTCCAAAGGATGGCAAGATACCGAGCTAAGCAGCCTCTGGAGTTGATACATACCGACCTGTGTGGACCCATTACTCCGGGGTCCTTCAGTGGTAAGAAATATTTTATAACTTTTATTGATGACTTTAGTCGAAAGACTTGGGTATATTTTTTGAAGGAAAAATCCGAGGTGCTAGAGGCATTCAGGAGTTTTAAAACAATGATAGAGAATGGTACTGGAAGATACATCAAGTCGGTCCGCTCAGACCGAGGTGGGGAGTACGTGTCAACAACTTTCAAGAAGTATTGTGAAGAACATGGGATAAGGCGGTTCCTGACCGCTCCGTACTCGCCCCAGCAGAATGGAGTAGCTGAGAGAAAGAACCGGACTATCCTGGATATGGTCCGATCTATGCTAAAAACGAAGAACATGCCAAAGGAGTTCTGGGGAGAAGCCGTGCAATGTACCGTGTACGTGCAAAATCGATGTCCGCACTCAAGTGTGAATGATAAAACTCCACAAGAAGCATGGAGTGGTCTAAAGCCATCAGTGGCTCATTTCAAGATTTTTGGTAGTGTTGCGTATGCACACATACCGGATCAATTGAGGACAAAGCTAGAAGATAAAAGTAAGAAGTATCTGTTTATTGGCTATGATGAGAAGACGAAGGGGTACAAGTTGCTGGACCCCGTCAATAAAAAGGTGTTGGTGAGCCGAGATGTAAAAGTGAATGAGGAAGATGGATGGGACTGGAGTAGTCCATCCGGGGTCAATGTGGAACCCGAACTAAAATCAATTGAGGTCAGACAACCTTCGACCCGGATTCCTGAGAATCCGAATGACTCAGATAGTGATGAAGAGCAGAGACAACCGAGATTGAGGAGTCTACAAGATTTGTATGATTCCACCAGTGAAGCACACTTGGTATGTCTGTTGGCAGATTCTGAAGAAGTAAGCTTTGAAGAAGCAATCCGAGATGAGAAATGGCAATCAGCCATGGAGGAGGAAATAAAGGCGATAGAAAAGAACAAGACGTGGGAGTTAGCCGAGCTGCCCAGAGGAAGTCGGCCCATTGGTGTGAAATGGGTCTAGTGGCGAAAGGGTATAGGCAGAAGGCTGGCATTGATTATGACGAGGTGTTCGCACCCGTAGCAAGAATGGAGACAATCAGGCTGTTGATCTCTCAAGCAGTCCAATTTGGATGGCCGATCTATCAGATGGATGTGAAGTCGGCATTCTTAAATGGAGTACTCGAAGAGGAGGTGTATCTGGAACAACCTCTGGGATTCATGAAAGCCGGAGAAGAAAGAAAAGTGTTGAGACTGAAGAAAGCCTTGTATGGATTGAAGCAGGCCCCAAGAGCCTGGAACACAAGAATTGACAATTACTTCAAAAAGGATGGATTTGAGCAGTGTCCATATGAACATGCTCTCTATGTAAAGAAGAAGGAAGGTAAAATTTTACTTGTTGCTCTATATGTTGATGATCTGATTTTCTTGGGTAATGATGAAGGGATGATTCAAGATTTTAAGAAGAAAATGACGAAGGAGTTCGAGATGACGGATCTTGGTCTGATGAGGTACTTTCTTGGTCTGGAGGTCAGACAAGATAAATCTGGGATCTTCGTCTCTCAGGAAGCCTATGCAAAAGGACTTCTAGAGAAGTTTAAAATGACAGACTGCAACCCGGTTTCAACGCCAATGGAACCCGGGTTGAAACTTTCAAAGTATGATGGAGGAGAGAGAGTTGATCTGAGTTACTACCGGAGTCTAGTTGGAAGTCTGAGATACTTGACATGTACAAGGCCGGATCTGTGTCTGAGTGTTGGGATCATAAGTCGATTTATGGAAGACCCGAGGTACACTCACTGGAAGGCGGCTAAGAGAATTCTGAGATATGTGAAGGGAACAATCTCTCAAGGACTTCATTACTCGAAGTCGGACAAATACAAGTTGACGGGTTATTCAGACAGTGATTGGTGCAGAGATGTTGATGATAGAAAGAGCACGGCTGGCTATGTGTTTTTCATGGGAAACACGGCTTTCACGTGGGTGTCAAAGAAGGAACCCATTGTGACCCTGTCTACATGTGAAGCCGAGTATGTTGCGGCATCTTGGTGTGTTTGCCATGCAATATGGCTAAGGAATTTACTAAGCAAGTTGGAGCAAGGGCAAGTCGGCGCAACCGAAATCCAAGTTGACAACAAGTCTGCGGTCGAGTTAGCAAAGAACCCGGTAAATCATGAGAGGAGCAAGCATATTGATGTCAGGTTTCATTTCATCCGAGATCAAGTTAAAGAAGGAAAAGTGGAGCTCACTCATGTTGCAAGCCGAGATCAAGTTGGAGATATTTTTACAAAGCCCCTGCCGACGTTGTTGTTTGAAAATTGCAAAAAGAAGATGGGAATGAAGGATGGTAGAGATATTAATGTTTAAGGAGTTTTGTTGGGTTTTAAACTTTATTTAATTAAAGAAAATAGAAAATGAAGAGTTTTGTGATAAATGGGTGTGTCTCTTAGGAATTTGTTAGTGGACATTAATGAGTTTAAAGTTTCTAAGAAGTAGTCATTAATGTGTTTAGATTTCCTAAGTTAGTCATTAGTATTTCTAGTTATTTGCTATTGCTTTTAAATAGTACCATGTAAATCATTTGAATGTAAGGCTTGAATGTTAAAAGATATACAAAGAGGTATATTCAGATAACTCCTTGTGTGTTTAAAGTGTTTTGTGAGAAACACCATTAGAAGACCTGCGATTCACAGTCTTAAAACGTCACTTACAATGACGCATCACTATACATTATTTAAGCAAAATATTTGATCTACGAATTATTCTGGTCATACTTTTCGAAAAATGAACTACTAGGGTCAAAAGGCCTTCAGGATGACTCCCAGTTCTCTTCCAGAAGAAGATTAATTTTAAGTACTGCACTTAAACTTCAGGATGACTCACACTTAAACTCTGCAAAATAATGCTAGATGGTTACCAAAAGAACATGCCACGTTCCCCGCTACCACTCTTCTTGTTGACACGTGTAACGTTTCGCCACGTACTCTCCACTTCCCACCTCCATTATAAGCTATTTATAGAACCATAGCTCTTCACCCAACTCCAAGCCACTTTCCAAAACTCTGAAGCTACCATCTTTCTCGCCAAAATTTGATTTCTTCTTTGCAATCTGTTCTGCGTTATAACAACACCCATCGGACAAGATGAATCAGGAACAGCCAAGACGCCCCCACTCCGACCAAGACCCCATCAAATACGGCGACGTTTTCGGCGTCTCCGGCGACCTAGCAGATAAGCCTGTCGCACCGGAAGACGCCGCCATGATGCAGAGCGCCGAGACCCGAGTGCTAGGCAAGACCCAACCTCGCGGAGCAGCCTCCTTCATGCAATCCGCCGCCACTCAGAACGAGCAGGCCGGCCTCGTCGGTCACCGAGACGTCACCGATGTCGCCGGAGACCGTGGCGTCACCGTCACAGAGACTCAAGTCCCCGGAAGACGCATAGTAACGGAAGCAGTCGGTGGACAGGTTTTGCCTCCTCTCTTTTTTTCACTTTTTTTCTCGTTTTCAGTGTGTTTGCTTTTTTAAGGTTTTTCGTTTCACCTCGTGTTCTGTTGTGTGTTTCTCTGTTTTTTTAAGGTTGTGGGACAGTATGTTGAGCCGACCCCGGTTCAATCAGGTCGAGCCGGTGCGGTCCGAGACATTGATATAACCATAGGGGAGGCGTTAGAGGCGACCGCGCAGACGGCGGGAGGGAAGCCCGTGGATCAGAGTGACGCCGCCGCGATACAGGCGGCGGAGGTTAGAGCGACGGGGAGTAATGTTGTATCGCCGGGGGGTTTGGCTGCTATGGCTCAGTCTGCGGCGGCTTACAATGCTGATTGCAAGCGTGATCAGGAGAAGATAAAGCTCGGCGACGTTTTGATCGCCGCCACCGCGAAGATACCGGCGGACAAGGCGGTGACACGACAAGATGCTGAAGGGGTGGCGAGTGCTGAAATTAGGAACAACCCGGATGGGACGGCCACTCCTGGTGGCGTAGCGGCTTCTGTGGCTGCAGCTGCTAGGCTCAATGAAAACGTTAACGTGTGATCGTGATATTATGATGATTTGCGTGTTGTACGATGTGTAAGGAGTAGTGTAATGTTGAGTTTGTGTGTTGTGGAGTGATGTTTGTGCATGTATGCATGTACGGTAGTATAACCTGTAAGCATATGTGTTTCTTTTCCTTACTAGTTACTAATAAAATACTAATGGTTTGGTGTAATAAAAATTATTAATGTGTCATCTATTATAATAATTTTTTTTATTATAAAAATTCGAAAGAAGGATCGTAAAAGTGAGATTACGTGTGACTCAGATCTTAAATTAGTAATATATTGCACTTTAAAAAAATTTGCACAAACTATACTTTTACATAAACAAAAAAATCTAATATTATACATAGATGTGTGAATTTCCATACTTCAAACACTACATATGTGGGCATTATTACTCTCATTAAATTGACTTGAAAATCATAGTAGAAATCTAGCCATAAAATTAGTGAAGACCTGTTTTTTAACAAAATTATAACATAATATAAATAAGCAAATAGTTTTGAAGTTGAATAACCCTATAAGCGGATGCGTTCTTGATGGAAACAAAGGTATTTTGTAGATTTGTTTCAAATGTTTTTATGGACAACTTTTTCTTTCGTTATCTGGTTATTGTATTTTTCTCTCTCGTTAGAAAATAATTGAAGCTTTTTTATTTTTTGGGGATTGTTGTCGGATGCATAAGAGAATTAATTCCCTTAAATGATAGTTTTAGGCTTGAACACAAAAAGTTAAAACACACAAAAAAAAAAGCACACATTTTAAACCTTGTCTGAGACACAAAATAAAATTATAACTGAATATTGCAAATGAAATAGTATAATATAAATGGTAGAGTTACATGATACTTTTGTCGTTGTTAATTAGCGGTAGGATAACCAACACACAAATATTAAAGATTTTGTGATGTTTATGGATATGATATATATAGAATAATATAAAATGTTATAATGTCAAGTATTGTTTTGTGCTGTGGTATTCTCTAATCTAATTTATTGCATAATAAAGATTTAGACATTTATGACATTTAGAGTTGTTTTTTTTTTGGTACACAAGTTATTTTGGTTTTATACTTTTACTATTTTCGTAATAAAGTACGTAACTTTTAGAAATTTTAGAAATACAGTGCAATCTAGTGTATTTTTAAGAATATATAATATTTTTATAAATAAAAAATTTATAAATATAATTCTTATTTTAAAAAATATTTTTTAATATTAATAAACATAAATTAAGGACATATACCCACCCGAATTTTTGAAACTGACAAATTGAAACGAAGCCACGGAGTCACAACACACAGCTCAGAAGCGGACCCTCTTGGTAATTTACTAGCATAGCTAGAAGTGAAAGATAGAAAGGACAAAGATGATCACAAATTCACGTGATTCCATTAGGGCATGAAGAAGGACAGTCACAATCACATGGGACAGCTGCAGATGACAATTTGAGTCACACTCGATAGCTAGTTTAAAAAAAGAAGGGCATTTTTGTCGCTCCGAATCCCAGTCAGAATTTGCATGCCTGACATGCCAAGCATATGTACTACTCTCTCTCTATATATAATAATCATTTTCCTTTCTGTTTTCGTTTTCGTCTACTAGTACGTCTCTATGAATGCTGCCTAGCATTTTTATTTTATTTTTTACTTTTTTTAGTTTCACTTTTGCAGGTTGCATATTTGTATGTTTCACATAAGACGATCGAGATATCATGCATGAAGAAAAACCAAACAATTTGAATTCGCACTTGGGTGATGACTGACATTTAATGAGCATATATAAGAGGTAAAACCTCAGAAAATTCACAAAAATAGGAGGACATATGCATGCCTGGTTGTTCAATCAACCAGACTGAAACTCTTGAACATTCGGGTCGCACACACCATTCAATCAAATCTGAAATGACGGATGCGACCAAACACTTTTAGTTTCATGGGAAGCTCAATAACTTACACGTGAATTACACCGTTTGTCGATAATGTACGAGTAAATTATGTAATTATTATCCCTTACGTGTGTGACTTTATTAATCTCATACAGTCATATTGTAGAGAAATCCTCTCATATTATAGATATAATTACGTATGAGATCCATCTATTTATCAAAAAAAAAAAAAATAACACAAAAATTGATGTATTTACATGAAAGAAAAATGCTCTCCAATAATATGAGAGTATATTTTTCATATATATATAAATGGATTTAGTGTTTATTCTTTTAAGAATATAAAGTTATGTTACTTTAAGTGGAAAAAAAAAACATAAGCAATCAGAATCATAGGAGAGAAAGTGAGTGATTTTTTCTTAAAAAAATATATAAAAATACTAAGTTGTGTCTTTCTCTCACTTCAAATAACAACTCTTTTTAAAAAAAGAATGATACAACTCTATGTCCTTTAAAATAACAAAACTTATTTTTCATATATATATATGGGTTTTATTACTATAATGTTACATGATGTAAGAACATTTTTCTACCCTCACAATAAAGAAGAGAAAGAAGGTGGAATGATGAAAGAGAAAAAAAATATGTGGACCCCACCTCTTAATTGTGTGTGTAGGAAAATTTTCTTGGGTTATGTAACATGATAGTAATAAAACCCTATATATATACATATACATATACATATATATATATAGGGAAAGGATATTGTAACAATTAATTAATATTTCTACCAATCAATTTCACCGTTAGATCGTTATTTTGATCCAATGGTTATATTTATTTCCATCTTTGTATGGTTATGATTCCTCATATTTAATATTTATATTTATTTATACTTTTGTATTGTTATGATTTTTTATATTTAATGCTTTCACATTAAATATGGGAAACTATAACCATACAAAGATGGAAATAAATATAACCGTTGGATCAAAATAATCGATCTAACGGTGAAATTGATCGGTAATAACACTAATTGTTGTTACAATATTCTATCCCATATCCCTATATATATATATATATATATATATATATATAAATATATATATAGAGGGTTCATTTGACTCAAGAGTAAAACTTTTAAGTCTTACTGCACATCTCAGCCGTTGATGGACGAAAATCAACGGTTGCCATTTATAGTGTAATTAATAATTAATTAATATAACTTACTAAACTATAACCGTTGGATGAACGAAAATCAACGACTATGATGGGGAATAAGACCTATATATATATATATATATATATATATATATATATATATATATATATACTATGTAGCACCGATACGACACGCGACACGTGACACGACACTCCGACACGTCAATCCTAAAAAATTATGGATTTCGACACGTTGGGACACGTTTTAATATTAAATAATATTTTTAATTTATATAGTGTATATTTCATTTAATATTCAATAATTTAACAAAAAATGAAACTAAATTAATAATACCCATCAACACGTTATAAAGATGGAAGCTTTAATAAAAAAATAAGAACTGGGATGAGAGAGATATATAATATCAGATAGAGAGATCAAATCATATTAGAGAGAGAGATTAGAGACAAGGAGATACAACAAGAGCGTGATAAAAATTGACAACAATGATGCTGAGATGATCTCTTATCTACTTAAAGGAAAAAAAGACAAAAAAATAAAATTGATATGATCAGGTGGAAGCTTTACTAATATATTTTATTTTATTTTAAATAATTTTTTTTTAAAAAAATTAAAAAAATTACGAAAATGCCATTTGACCGTGTCAGATACGGTCAAATTCGCGTGTCGGAATGGTCAACGTGTCGGAAAAAGTTGACCGCGTGTCCGACACCGTGTCAGACACGACTCTCCCTGTTTTTACAAGTGTTTGTGCTTCCTTGTATATATATATATATATATATATATATATATATATATATACATATACATATATCTTATCATTTCTCAAGTTGCTTGAGATAATTTTATCTCCGGCTACAAAATCATAACCGTACAAAGATGGATCAGTAGTGATAAAGGAAGAGAGAAAAAAGGAATCATAACCATTCAAAGGTGAATCAATTAATATAAGAAAATAAATAAACAAAACGACGTAAGTTTTGGCTGTATGGAAATAAATATATCTGAAGCTACTTGAGAAATATTTTTCTCATATATATAGGGCTTATCGATCGTTTCTCAAGTTGCTTGAGATAATTTTATCTCCAATTACTTAATCATAACCGTACAAAGATGGATCAATGGTGATAAAATAAGAGAGAGTAAAAAGAACTCATAACTATTTAAAGATAAATTAATTAATATAAAAAAATAAATAAATTAAATGATGTAGTTTTTGGGTGAACAGAGATAAATATATCTAAAGTTACTTGAGAAATATTTTTTTTCATATATATATATATATATATATATCAAATACTTGACCAACCGATCCAACATCAAAGAGGCACTCTCTCACATGAATCACTTTCGTTAAATTACGCAGCTCAAAGAGTTTCAGAAATAATTCAATTAGATAAAAATTTTATTTGGACATAGCAAAAGGTCTTGAATTGACACACAACCTTATTAGTTAGTTATTATTTAATATACATTACTTTTTTGTATTGAAACTTGTTTATTATTGTTTAAAAGTTAGGTTAATAATTTCCTCATATTATTATATGTAAGTTAGTAGTTAAATAAAAAAAATAAAAAACTTTTAAGTCATATTCTATTTTTTTTTTCCTTTTTTCAACACAAGTAGGATTGGTAAAAATGAGTCAACTCATCAAGTTGACTTGTACTCCGTGAAAAATGAATCGAGTTAGGTTGGCCAAAATAAGTTGCCAACCCGAGCTAACCTTTTTCGAGCTAGCTCGAAAAAAATGAGTCAACTTGCAGGTTAAATGGGTCAGCTCGCAGATTGAGTTTTTTTTAAAAAAACAATACAAAATATAATTTAAAAAACAGACAAAACCCACCCCCGCTGTCATCGTTTTTTTCATTCTCTAAACCTAAGTCCCTAATCTTCTCATATAGCTGCCATTTTTGTTCGGTCTCTCACTCAGGAATTGAGACGTAGCCGCTAGCCACCACCGTCCCTACTCCGTCAGCCCTGCCTTCTTTGCCTTAGCTGCTCAGTCTTGGCCTCAGTTCTTGCATTGAAAGCTTCTAGTATTTTTGATTTTTGATTTCTCATTTTGTAAATCTTTTTTTATAAACTATATTATAAGACAATTGTATTGTTTAAGCAGATGAAAGCCACATAATTGGTGCATTAATACTACAGATTTATTTAAATAGGCTGAAAAAGAGCCAATTCGCGAGCCAAATTTCGAGTCAACCCCCGAGCCATTTTTTCAAGTCAATTCACGAGCCATATTTTTGAGTTAACTCGCAAGCCAACCCTAACCCGGCTCGGGTCGAGTTGGGTTGGGTTCTGGCTCGATTTGTTTTTTTAAACCAATTCTAACTCGACTTATTTTTTTCTTGTTGCATGCAGGTTGGGCCTGGTCGGCCCATTTTGTCAACCCTAAACACACGTTTTACAAAACGGATTAGTGTTTATCATTTTAAAAAAGAGGTAGGATCCTTTGACACCAGTGTCAAATTTAAAATTTGACACCTCATCTGAGAGCCGTTAGATCATAAAAGATCAATGGTGTCACATGCTTATAAATCAGAGTCGTTGATCTTTTTTAAACTAACGACTCTCAGATGAGGTGTCAAAGAATCCTAACTCTTTAAAAAATATAGAATTATGTTATTTTAGTCAAAATTGTTTCATTTTATAGTGAGAGAAACAAAAATTATGGTGAGAGAAAGTGAGTTTTAACTAAAAAATAGTAGTTTCAATTTACTGTCTTTTTTGAATTTAAATATTAAATAAATAATATTTTTAACTAAAATAACTGTTCTTTAAAAGAATAAACACTCAAAGAAATTTCTGGAAACACACGGAGCTTAAAAGTTACAATACCAATTAATTGGAAAAAAAATGTTATTAACATATATCTACACTCACATTTTTTTGGTACTCTTTCGTAGATTTTAAACAATTTTAAATTAATTTTAAAATAGAAGAATTGCTTCTTACAGTAAATAATGTTCTGGCCCCCCCTTCGCTTCCCCGTTCTTCGTTTAGAAAAATCAATTGTGAGCTTCTAGATTGTAGAACTGATATTTGCTGCTCTGTACATTAAAATCAATTATACTCGCATGAAGTCTGCATTTATCTTATTACTCGTATTTAATAAAAGGGAAAAAATATCTGTTTTCAAAAAAAAAAAAAAAAGGAAAAAATATCTAATATTAATTTAGACAATTTTATCTAATGTTTATCAAAATAATATAATTTTAGGGTTGAGAAATTAAAAATTTAGAATGATAAAAATCATTATAATCTTAAAATAAATTAAAATTATCAAATACACCATAATTTTCTTTCCAAAAATGATATCATTTCAATGAACATAAGACAAAGTTGTCTAAAGTAATTTTAGAAAAAATGAATCCTTAAAAAATATAATAATTTTTGTAATGATATGTAGCAAAGTGACTTCTATATAATTTAATTTAACATAAAAATTAATTTACTTTATACTATTCAAATGAAGTTCTTCTTATAAAATTATTTTTGAGATAATATATATTATTAAACGTAAATAAGTTGTTTCACCCTCAAACTAATAATTTAAAACTATGCACGAAAACTTTAATCCATATAAAGACGTGTGATAAAAATTATAATTCCACATTTTTAAAAAATAAAATAAAAACTCAAACCAATTCAGGAACAGGGATTGGTCTCTCACTCCTCCTCCAAGGGACCACCCATGTGTCTGAGTACTGTGTGGCGATCGTCCCCACCCACGTACGTATAAAAAAAGTATTCCTGCATGAAAAAGAAAAAAGAAATATATCAGTTCAAAATGTTTGTGTAAGATTTATAGATTATTGCTGCATTGAAACGTGTCAAATTCGGAAACCCATCATAGATAAAAAAAAAAAAGAATTATGTAAAATCATGGCAAAAAAAAAATGACAGAGAATTAACTATAAGGTATGGTTCGGAAGGAAGAAAGATGACCTAGATCAAAGGGTCTCAGAATTTACCAAATCATTTTGTTGATGGGAGAAGTAGTCACCACACTTAAAAAACCTATAGGATTATGAATGCCCCGTTATCCTAAAAATTGTAAAAATGTAAAAATCAGCGTCTTTATTTCCCACACAATAATAGCACTTTACTATATCCCAAGCATACACACGCTCCACCTAGCAAATTCCCAAAAAGCTAGCCAACACGACACAACTACTCTATATAACAAACACGCACACACACACACACCCCTACACCTACACAAACACAAACACACTCTCTCTCTCTCTCTCCTCATCCTTCTCTCTGTTTTTTTTTTTTCTCTCTCTCTCACTGTGCAAAATGCCCAACCTGTTCTCTAAACACCTTCACCTCTGTTTCTTCAAACTCAAAGACCCCACCATTCTATCCCATCCTCAACCGCAGCAAGATGACCACCATCACACTCCATCACCATCACCACCTTCCACTAAGTTCCACTCCAACACCACCTTCAACTACCACAACCACTCCCTCTACGATACCAACTCCTCCGCTTACTCAACCTCCAAATCCACCGACGATTACTTTTCCTCATCCTCCTCCTCCTCCTCCTCCGATTCCATGGACCTTCCTCCGCCGGACTTTGCCTCCGTCTTCGCCTCTCAGCGGTTCTTCTTCTCCTCCCCAGGCAGCTCCAACTCCATCATAGAGTCCCCTGACACTCGACCCTGCAACTCTCACAACAACAACAACAACACGTTGATACCAAGAGGTGGCGTGAGGGTTCCCAAGTACTCTCTCGATCCCTACGTTGATTTCCTCCGTTCAATGCACGAAATGATCGATTCCCGACAAGCGTTGGACGTGAGAAAAGACTGGGATTATCTCCACGAACTCCTCTTATGTTACCTTGCTCTCAATCCTACACATACCCACAAGTACATTGTTCGTGCTTTCACCGACATTGTGGTCGACCTTTTGTCTTCAACATCGCCGTCGCCGCCGTCCTCCACCCCTTGCCGGATGCACAAGAACCGCCGGCAGACTAGTTTCTCAGGGAGGTTGGTGTAAAAAAGCACAAACTTATTAACATGGATTAGGTTTAATTGTATTTGTGTTTAATTGTTTATTTTATTTTATTTTATTTATGTTGTTAAGACAAAAGAAAAGATTGGCGGTTGTGTGATCCACTTTATGGGATTTTTTTACTTTGTCTTTGGTGAAAACGGGTTGTATTTTGACGATGGAAAAGACAAGGTTAGCAAACCAAGGAGGCGTGTGTGGTAAAGGGAAGTTGGTGTTTCGGTGTTGTTTTATTATAATATAGAGTATAGTGCTGCTTTTAATTCCTACTTTGTTGTGTAAAATAACTACTCTCTCTCAGGGCTTTTTGTTTATTGAAAGAAAAAAGCGTGCTGTAATTAATTTCTTGGAATTATTGTATGACGTTGATGATGGAGATAGCGGGTTACAAGCAGAGTTCGTTTATTGTCCTTGTGTTTGTTGTTGTTGTTGTGTGTGGTCCTGTAATGGCAATTACATGGCAGGAAGAGAGTTCTGTACACAAACTCGCGAGCAGCTTGGTTTTCTTCAGAAACGTGTCCGCAATGAATTTGGATTTTGTGCTTAAAGTTAGGAAATCTCGTTTTAGCTTACAAAGAGACAAGGATGGGCCTCAAATGTAGTTGGGATTGATCAAGGGAAAGGGATCATAGAAGGGTTAATGGGAAGGAAGAAAAAGAATATTGGGATTAATTGATGCTGGGTGGTGCAGTTGATGTTGCAGGTGGCAGGACTTTCCTTTTTCCCTTTTGTTTCCATCTTTTTTTACTCAATGAAAAATAATGCATCTATCAAAAGCTGAAACAAGTACAAAATTAATCAAGGACGAGGGAAAGAGTAAACCTGACAAGTGACAACAAAAACAAAACTAGATAAGGTTCTTTACAGTTTGCCAATAATCAAGAAGCTAGCTAGGAACAATGCTTAGTGAATAATGGCAAAAAAAAAGAAACAAAACTTAGCCAATTAATTTCCCAGACTCAGAGGTGTCTGTACTTTCTGTTTCATTTTCATTCCATTGTGCTTCATATCCCACTTTGAGGGTACTTAATACTTTTACACACACATCAAGAATTGGCTCATGGATCTTACTTGTAGGCAGAAGACCTGTGTTCGGTTCCACTATTCTAGCTAAATTTTTTAGCTATTATGTGCATATGCTAGAAAAAATAAACATTGAATGTCCTTCTCTCTATTTAATACAAAAGCCAACTTGAAAATGAGTTCAAGAATGTCGATTTGACTCAAAGCGCTGTCTTATTCACAAATATCTATGGTACTACTGCTGTACCATTTACTCAGTGCATTTATCCAATAAAAAATAAGATTGTCATGTTTGTATGAAAAAAAGAGAAAAATATTTTTTTTATCCAAGTATCATTTGTTGAATGACAGATGTACCTACTACAGATGTAGTTGATCTCCTTTTATTCTCAGTTTATTTCTATGTCATTTTTGCTTGTGCCAATTAGCTACATTAAATTCATTTTAACATATTTCCTTTTAACATAATTCCTTTTGAAATTTGAATACTCTTACTACAAAATAATCAACAAGGTACTTATAAATATGAAGAGTCTTCAAAACGAAAATTCACAAGGTCCAGTGGTGGGTGGTGTGATGTCCAAATCCCCAGTTAGACTAGAAAATGTTTAGCCAGAGCCAGGAGCTAGCGTTGAAGAACTCAAAATTTGCGTTGGGCATAAAAAGGGTTTGGATGGCATTAGAATAGACATTTTGGGTTTACTCTGTTTAATTATTGCTATTTATTTAATATGCCCTGTAGGGGAAACTTGGGGACAAACCAAGAGGATCCAAAGAGAGAGCTTCAACAACTACGGCAAAAGAATGGGTGATCTTATCGTTTTATACTAAAGTAACTATAATTATAGATTAAAGGTAGCTGGTTTAGGTGAGTTTATATACCAGACTATTTGTCTTTAAGTGTATGCAATATTATTATATGTCAATGTTCGTTTGGACAAGAAGTTCGTATGCCGTATTAACTAAGGGTCGGGGTGGAGGAGTTTCATAGCCCTACACTAGCAGTGTACCTATTTCCATACTTCTCATTTGGATTAAGAACATTGGTAGAATATATAGCAAAGGAACATGTATGATGAAGACCACTAGTGACTAAATTAATATTAGAAACAGTTGTAGTTAAACAATAAACCTACATATTAAGTAATGATAGGGAGTGATCTAGAAAAGCCTATATGCATAAGATTCTCGTTCTTATATCCTTGTAGCAACACAGGAACAAGAAGAGGAACATGGTTATCTTGCATATTTTTTTGTTTTTATTTATTTATTTATATTTTCACAATTTTGAGTTGTCCTCATGCTTGTGGAACTAATTCTTACTTAGATGTAAACTTAGCTTGGTTACAAGATATTTATTGCGAGTTTTGAACCTATGTACTGCTAAAGTCCCACCACCCACTTCGAACTTTGAATTTTATTTTAATTTTAATTTTTTATATTAGAATTTAATTTCTCGCCCCTTTTTTCCCATTCAATTGTCATTCTTTTAACAAAATGGTAAAGGAGAAGCATTATTTTTCTTTTTATATAATACCAAAAGTTTGAACTAAAAATCCCGTATGAACCATTTAGTTAACGGAGAGCCCAATATGTAACCTCATGTGAGTGTGATGATTATTATAGGGATAGCTGGCACAATAATGGTGAGAACCAAGACTGGTTCCAGTTGTAGTGTATAAAAAGGGGAAGGGGTTGTTGGGTTTGCTCTTTTACTAAAGCCCAAATGGGTTATTAGTATGAGAAGAGCCCAAGGAACCTAGAGCCCAATGAGCTAGGGTTTCTTGGAACCCATATAAATAGTACCTCTTAAGTCATCAGCCTCCAAGGTCTTTTTTGTGAGAAAGAGACAAGCTCTGAATCTAATCAGTGCCCACACACTTCCCCTTCCTCCTCGAGAGATAGTTTGGAAGATCTGCCACAGTCCAGCTTCAAGGAGGTTGTTCGTGCTGCGACGCTGAGGTGAGCTGTTCGTGAAGAGGAATCCTACAAGGGAAGATTCTACACGAGACCTGCGCACCGAGAGGTAATTGTGAAACAAGGATGATTCGGTAAGCATACCAATGTACTAGGTCCTAAACCGCTTCCGCATAAATCTAAGATTTCCTTCAATTGGTATCAGAGCCTTGGCTGTACATTGGTATGTGAATCTAGTTTCACTATTCATGTAATTAGTTTTGCTTCTTGATGTGGCACCTAGGGTTCTAGGATTATGGTATGAATCTAGCATGTGTATTTTATAATTCATTTTCATAAAAGTTTAAATTTTAATCGGTAAAAATGCTTTAATCCATGGTTAGGATCTCTCGTGTATTTCTCGATTTGTAACAAGGGGGCTAATCCCATATGATTAGGTTTCCTCCTTGCTGTTTTTGTTTATTTTTGGAATTTCTGTGTATTTTTCAAATATTTTGTAAAAGTTCAAGATCGAGAAACCGCGAGTAAGATGCGCAGTCAGAACTGTCGGAGACTTTTCGAGGTCTTCCCGATCTCGGAATGAGGCGATCTATATATGTTTGGAAAGAGGACGGAAAGACGAACGCAACGGTGGGTGGCTTACCGCCATCTGAGTTTACACGCGCCCCCACGCGCCTCCACAAGATTCTGAGAGTGGCCGCCACTCTCCGGCAAAGAATGGGAGAGTGAGGGAGCGTCCGGCCACCTTTTTGGGTGATTCCGGCGGCGGTGCACTCGTCTCTACGTGGCGGTCCTTCCCCTGGAGTTTCAGCTTGATTTGACTTCGGGTGACGGCGCGGCAGACCTGACGGCTAGGGTTTCTCTTTCGCGTCCTAGGGTTTCTCGCCAAAGGATTGGGTCTTTGGGCTTTTGGGCCCATGAAACCCTAAAGGGGCTTGAGACAGATACTATGGGCTAGGCGAAAGTCGAATTCCAAAGTTGTATTATTTTATTTTATTTTATTTTCTTTAAAATAGGAAGGCCATGGATTAAAGTAATTATGATTTATTATTTAATGCTTTTATTGATTGGTATAAATTATATGATTGATAACATGCTTTATTGCGATAACATGCCATATAGAATAGGTGGTGCCATATTGTTGCATAACTTGTATGATTGCATGAGCATAATAGCTATTATGTCTTCAGCGACTGGTATGATAGTTATTATAGGATTATTTTGATTTTAAATCATCCTAAGAAATTAATTAATAATTATTATGATTTTTATTAAAGATCTAGATTAATAATTGAATTAATTAATTTTGGATAATTAACATCAAGACAAATAATCGTTATGGAAATTATTTTGATTTCAAATTATCCTCATAAATGATAATTATTATGATTGTTGCAATCTAGATTAATAATTAAGTCAGCTATTTGGATGATTTAAATCTAGAAAAATAATTAGAGAAAATTTCCCGAGAGAATTCTTTTATTTTGCGAGTAATTTGTGGGTTTTTCTGAAATGGTCATGGAATAACACACGCTGTATACAACATTCATGTATCATGATTGTTTGGAGCACACGCTGACGTAAAGTGACCGGATTTCATGACCTTAATGCTTTCAAAATTATGTTAAGCTTAGTGCACGTTTATCGGCGCTCTTACTTATATAGTTTTTGAAATCGAACAAAGGATACTCTCAATTAAATAATTCTTGGAAATTAGAAAATGTTGCTTATGTTGAATGGAAGGAGATTTAAATTAAGAGATTAATTTAACCTTTAAGCGCATTATAGGACCATTAATAAAATAATCATGTGAAGTCCCATCGAATAAGCATGATTGGATTTTATTAGATTGGACTTAAATATCTATGGGAGGAGATTTAAATTAAGAAATTAATTTAACCTCCAGGCGCATTGTGGGTCTATCAATAAAATAATCATGTGAGGCCCCAACGGATAAGCATGATTGGATTTTATTGGGCCTTAATAATTTCAAAATTTTAATAAAGTATTGTACGTCCCATCGTCGATAATACTAAGTTATTAAAGAT